CACCATCATCCATTGAACTGAGCATTTTGTTTTGCAGCAACTGCAATACAACATAGAACCAAACCAGTTAAACAATGATTCAAATAGCTCTTAAGCTACTTTCATAGAATCAACAACCTCATAATCATAGCGATAGAAACTATCCCCAGTACTGTATTTATGTAATCGAGATACATAAGTAAAATTAAAATCCATCAGATACTAAAGCTTACTCTATTGTAATATGAACGCATAAGAAATAAAACATTCAATAATCCATTTAAAGCAGATGCAACGGTGAACAAATCTTATAAAACTTGGAGCAACAAAAAGTCACAATATCTAGATATGGTAATTTTCAAGATCTATATAATCAATTTGTTGACAAACACTTGACTCATTCCGTAAACCTGACACACTAATTTGGATGAAGTAACCAATTACGTATGTTGTCGTCAAGAAAATAAAACCATCTCGGTTCAGGAAAAACGAGGACTAGAAAAAATAAGCCCGCAGACACATACAATTGCTCCAAATATTATATTTCAAATCTGATCTCAAAGATTACATATCCAAATTTAAGAGTAGTTGGAAAATGTTTTACCTCAATATATTTGCTTGATTGTGTGGATCGGAATCGTCGTACGAGAAATTATACCCAATCAGCTGCTTCAAACGGTAGATAAAACTTCAAGAATCTAGATTCAAATCGATCTTCAAACTGACCAATAAAGGAACTAAAGCAGAATTTGATTTCGGTAAGTGTAGATTTGTTAGTTTTGAAATAGTACTCGATTGTATTGTAGATCGAAACCAAATGAAGTGAAATAAAAAAAATAGACAAACGAGATAAGAGGAAATAAAAATGACAGCACTCCTCTTCCTTAATTTAACACATTAAACCAACCTATTATCCCCTTAAAACATTACCCGGTTTAATCGGTGATTGTTTTTTTTCCTTTCTTTCATCTACCCGGTTTAATCACCGTAGTATTGAGGTGCTAGGGACATACATCCATTAT